TAAGTAGACCAAAATTTAAAATTTTACATGCAGACTGTTGGTGCCCTAAATAGTCGTTATTTTTCATTCTATTTTAGTTGCAAAAAGTAGACTTCAGTAAATAATTTAAATTTTTATTGTAATAAATAAACAAAAACTAATTTTAAATAGAGTTGACCGAAAACCAATATCATTTTTACAAAATATTGAAATATGTAATAAGAATAGTTTAATGTTTTTCTCATGCAAGTTTTGATATTATCCTATAAAAGATAAAGTTAATTATATTATTATTACTATGTATGTATACCTATAATAATTTTCACCTCCCTCTTTTTTTTTGAGATTTGGGGGGGGGGCATTGCTCCCATGGCCCCCCCTTGTATCCACGCCTGACAACGATATAATCTCCTATGTGTAGGTAATCTTCATTGTAAAATAAATATTAAATAAAACATTATATGTGTTATCTACTTTTAATCGTTTATGAAATTTCTTGCTTATGTGATGAAAAATTTGGTCAAAATATTGTGATGTGTAAGTATATTTAAATAATAATAGTATATAAATCATAAATAGTACGCCTAATAGCTAAACATTCAAAATTAAACAACGTTTATTGAAGAATGTTGGTGGTTTGTTTGCGGTTTATTTTCAGTGTCGGTGGTTTAATTGGAGATTGAGTTATTAAAGCAGTTTAAATAATGTATTTCTGAAATTAAATGAAACCATTTAGAGTTGAAAACATGATTGTTGTCAAACAAGCTAGTATGATTTAAAATCCTACAGAAACCATTTTAATTGAACAGTTGTGATATTTTTGCAAGTACAGCCGTATTAATATGATAGGTGCTGTGATTTGATGGATGCAGATAATATTGTATTTTTTTTTGGAGAGGCGAACACAAGTAATACGTTTTGGAGTAATTAATTAGTGAATGGATCCGGCAATATTGAGAAATGTGTTTCCTACATTCCCAAGTTGTCAAAAAAACAAAAAAGCTCTTTTATAGAAGCCAGTAATTTATTGTTCACTCAAAATATGTTTTACTTAGACAGCCTCGCATTTATGTTGAGCAGTATTGCAACTACAGCAAAGCTAAAACCATTGAGATGATGTATATTTTTTTAAAAATCCAAATTTGAAAGTCACACTTCTAGTTTAAAGGCATATGGGAAAATGTTTCATTTTAAATTCAAAGATTTATTTATCATGTTAAATTCATTGCGCGCAATGGACCTGAGTAAAGAATCTGAATTTAAATTATACTTGTTTTAAAAAATACATTCATTCTTCAAAGATTTCATTTTATACAATGGTTTTATTTTATTTTTTTCTAATTTTCTATCCTATGATAACTTTTGAACAGCCAGATCGATTATTTTTGTGTATCAAGTCTTTAGATCTTTAGAAATCGTACCCTAAAGGTATTTTACAAGGTCAAAAATTTTAAAAAAAATTGCCAAGGATGTGAAAAATTATGACGTCACTTGAGTGGAGTATTTAATGAGATCACCCACCACGTTTTACTTGTCTATACAACCGACCCAGGATAATAATTAATAATAGTTCTTAAGCGGACTAAGAAAAGAGCAGTGACTAAGGGTTGAAATCATACTTATGATTGTGTATACAGGTAAGTTTCATCATGTCAAAACGAACTGAATAGAAATAATTACACTGGTTACAAGTAAACAATACTGACTACTGTGTGTTGTAAATGTGTAATGTTCTCACAACAATGTAATAATAATATAGTATAATAAAGGTAGGTACTGTATGTAAATCTTATACGGATTTCCATGTCTCGTTGTTTTCACAAGTTACTTGGGTAAATTATTTTGCCCTAAATTATCTATCCTGTGCTCTTCAATGGATACATTTTAAACAATATTAATAATATACATTTCAATATGCACATACTGTGTATGTAAATAATGCAAAACCGAGTATTCTACACGCTAGGCCATAGACGTTTGTGTACAGTATAAGATCTAAATCTTGAGTAGGTATATGTATTTTGTGTTATTTGCATAATATAGTTCAACGGTTGTACCAACAGTTGATGTATCGTCTCATTAAAACACTTATTTGATTTATATAAAGTTGTGTTATGGTAATATACTTTTTACCTACACTATTCAAATCGCTGTACCATAACTAAACATATAATAGCTTTGCGTCAATTTATGCAATATTCAACATTAAAGACAAACGGAATAATGTAGTATTGCCCATTTTAGTGTAGTACCTAATCAATATTAATTATTAATTACTGTTAGTTTAATAACATATGTAAACAACCCTAATTTAGATACTTTGGATTGTTGGTGATCACAAATTTCTTTTGGAAAATATTTTGAAAATCAACAGCAGCCAGCACCATTTTAATCTTAATTTTTTCTACTGGATTTAAGATAACTTCTTGACCACTGGACATATTTATCAGTTATATATTTATAATTTTTAATACAATAAAACCAATAACAATGATTCCTTTTCGACTTAACCAAAAAATGTCATAACAAACGTTTTGAATAGACTAAGGCTGGAAAGCAGACAAAATTAAAAATAATTGTGGGATTGAAAGATTGACTAATCATTATTAGATTAATTCTGAAGTTAGATTTTTTTTTAGAGTAGTTTTTTAGTTAATGTCCAAAATTAAGACTGGAGGCAAAACTGATGCATGCTTATACTTGTTGACAATTTTTTTTTATGAGAAAAAACCAAAAATAAACAAATAACGAATTATACTTTAAACCCGATATTGGTTTATAGTTATTTTTATTGATTTAAAAAATATGTTTACCCATTCAGTTTCAATAATTTACATGTACTCATTATATTTTTGTAAGCTAATTATTATATGATAATAAAGGCTATAAAAAAAAATTACAGTCTACAGGTTTGGATCTAAGTGTTTTTTGAGATGATTTTAACACTTTCGTTCAAAGGAATAAAAATACCTATGGGCCAGAGACCGCACAGAATATATTTGTTCATTTCTTCACTGAGATGTATTGTTATTTGTAAGCTATAGTCTATATATTGTATCAATATTTAAACAATTAATTATTTACAACGAATTTTACAATAGATTTGAATTTTTAACAAACACTTAGAGATGTTGAAACTGGCCCGTTGACAATTTGCTAGTCTATTGAATACCACAATTGCAAAAAATAATTATTTGCAATAATAGTAAAGGGTTCTTTGTATAATATGTAACAAAAGAACATTGCACTGTACTATTTTTAAGAGCGTAAAGATAATATTTGTTAATTAAATAGAACTAAACTATATTGATTAGGTATGTTCTTTATAATATGTTAACAAATAATAGTCATATTGTATATATTATACTATTTAGTTAAATCAATTAGGTACTGCCAAAAACCTATATGCTTAAAGCATTATTAGAACAAAAAAAAACCTAATTAATTACATTGAAGTAATTGATGACAAAAAGTCTAATTGAATATACAATACAACAATGTTCAAAGCATAAGAAATGTATTAATAAAGGCACCTACTTGTACCTTTTGTGACAATATATTCCCACATTACTACAAGAAAACCAGAGCGGCTAACAAAAGTGCTTTCTAGTCTTTATAGACTTTTATAGAGCATAATATTTTAAAAATCCTATTGTATGTAAACTATTAAAAACAAATGTTTCAATCTACAAATAAATTCAGAACAAGTCGGTCGCTGTGTATTTGTTTTAATTGATGTTAGCCTTTGTGGTAACAAAAACACAGTAAATGCATAATTCTAGTTTGCTAATCATTTGAAATAAAAGTTTTTAAAAAAACTTATTTTGTAAAATATTTCCAATACAAGTTTAAGTTTAACAGATAACTTTTCCGCAAATAATTTTTTACTCGATTCTAGGATTTCTAATATATACTCAGATAATTGTATTTTAGTAGTGTAGTTGTTTTAAAAGTCCTAACGGCCGAAAGTTAAAAACATTTACTTTTTGTAGCTTATTATTATCGTAGAAAAAAAAAATCATCACATTAATAAAATGAATATAATCATACAGAACAGGCAAAGCACAAGATACAGTTTCAGTTGTACATTACTATTTTTTTTTGCTCATAGGTACATAGGTACAACAAAGAAAGAAAATATTAATAATTTAGCCAAAAATTAAAATTCATTTTTTAGTAGGCAATGAAAACAGTTCTGTTATTTACTGTGCCTGATATGAAGGGTACATGGAAAAAACCAGCAAAGTCACTTTTTAAAAATGGCAATTTTTTGTTATAAAATTCGTTTTGATACAAAACGAATCTGTTCTTTACTTTTAAGTACGATTATAAGCAAAAATTTACAATATTTTTTAAAGTTTTAAGCTTAACTTAAACATGTTTTTCATAGATTAGAAAAAAGTGACTTTGCTGGTTTTTCCCCTGTACCCTTCATATATGGTTTTCTTTGATAATGTTTTTATGAAATTATTGACTTACCTCTCCTCCTACTCTTTCTAGGATCGTTAAATAGCTGCGTTAAAACACTGACTTAGCTGTACTTACTCACTTATGTTTAAAACTTCAGTTCCAAGATGATATAGTGTTACAAAATAGTGTTTTTTTTTAATATTAGAACAATAAGAAAGAAGTAATTAAAAACTATTGACCGTTAACACATACCTCTAAAAAAAACCTCAATTAAAATAGATCCAATACTTTAACATTTGAACAAATATCAACCGTTGACTGTTGGATAGTTTGGGCTCTTGTTAAACTTCTTGAAGTCCCATTCAAATGATTGAATGACGTAATACTGTATACTTAAATTAATTATTTTACTACAAAAATGTAAAATCATTAAAGGCGGGTGAATTCATAGTCGCCACTTTGGTCATGCGCAAACACTGTAAACGGGTAACAGCAAAATTGTCCACCGACAAATTATCATTCGGCCAAGTGACGTTATGACGTAGAAAACATGACGCAATGATAACACCCTCGTGGTCGGACTAGATGATAAGTGATAAGCGCAAAAATCATGTTTCAAATATTATAATGCATATTTTATTTCCAATTATTAACTCAAAATACAATTTTTAAATATTATAACAATTTTCTTATAAGGAAATCTTACAGGTTTTATCAATCGTTCTTTAAATAACAATCGTGAGTAACAAAATTAACGTATAATATTTACAGTCTTTTTAATCATTTGTATTATTATTTGTAACACTTGTATTGAATAATATTACTATTTCCTTTGATAATCTAATAACAATTATTATTGTTTTGCATTGTTTGCATTTAGAAAGAAAACAACATGAAGTCAAAAAAATCTAGTGTTGCGACCAAATCGGATCAGCGTTTTGTTTTCAAATCCAGGAAAGCCGAAAGAAAAGCGATGCGACAAATGAAAAAGCAAAAGAAAAAACAATTGCCTCAAGTTGCAGAAAGTGAAATTGCTGTCGTTAAAGTCAACAAGAAAAAAAAGCCACCGGCAGTACCGTCGACCGTTGATTGGCGAGTGGCAGACAGAAACAAGGAAAAACTGGAAGAAATGAAATTACAAAGGCAATACGATAAAAGCAGACGTGAGCAAATGAAAGAAGCCAACGTCTACGAAGACAAAGAAATAAAAAGATTAGCAAAACATTTAAAAATCGATAAGAGAAAAACGGTTGGAAAGTCGTTTGTAGAAGACGGACTCGATTGTATCCTTTTTACGTATCAAAGTTTATCCAAATTAAGGTTGTATGTTATTAGGTTTGAGATAAATTTTTAACTATATTCTAATATTCTCTTTTCTTATACCGTAACTTAGTGTGGGAAAAAAAGCCCAATTTGTGGTTTACTATTGCTGTTTTTCACCCAAAGTCGTCAATTCGTTATTAACCAAATCATTTTTTTTTTTTTTTATTGAAACCATAATAATATCTACATAATATAATTAAAATAAAATGTTATGATTATCATCTATCTCTTCTAAGCATAGCTTATGTTAGAGATAGAGAGTAGAGTAAAAAATTCAAACAATATAAAGTAATAAGTAACAAAACATATACAAAATAAATTAATGTTAGAAATTAACTGGACATATAAAGAAAATAAGTTAAATTTAAATTATATACGTTCTTCAAAACAAGAAGATACAGATGTGATGCTTTATCTAATTGTAAAAATTATATTCTTCTTATTTCTAATCTATGGCGATTTCTAGTGAAAAATGTCGGTTTTTAGTTTAATTTATAAGACTTGGTAAGCTATATTCCTTGACTACCCGCGTAGACTTGTTGGACGTATGTGATCCTGAAACCAGGAAGGATTGTGCTACGCTTAAGGAAAGTTTACTCGATCTCGAGTCAAACTTTCAAGAAGACTACAATACAGTGAACGATTTAAAAAGAAAAAAGAAAACTGCTGAATCTGAGGTAAAAGAAAAAAAGAAAAAAGTCACTTTTGACGTTGATGAGGATTCAAGTAACGAAGATACGTTTGAGTACGAACACGAAGATGACGACATATCAGACAATGACGATGACGATGAAGACGTATCAGATTATGAAATACACGATGGTTTCGATTTGGAAAATGAAGAAAATTCAGATGAAGAAACTTACGAATGTGATAGAGAAGAAGAATTTGATTATAGTGATGACGATAATGGTGTCGACGACGATGATGGTGAGGACAATGATGTTAATGACGACAAAATAAAAAACAAGTCTACCGAGGTGGATAAAAATTTAAAAGAAGACATTTATGGAAGGATAAAAAAACCCGACGGAACTGTTGTGGTAAATATTAATTTTTTCCCTAGCGCTTCATAAAATAAAATAATTAATTTTTGTTGTTATCTGTTTTATTGTTTTCATTGTAGGAAAAGTCATCGGTTTACGTTCCACCACATTTAAGAAAAAGTGATGACTCCGAACAACTGAAACGACTTCGACAACAAGTCAAAGGATTATTGAATAGGCTTGCGGAAACAAATATGCATAGCATAAGTAGACAGGTAAAAAAATATAACCCTATTAATGTAACCAAATTAGAATAGCTCCTATTAATTTTTTTATGCTTATTAAATTATTTTCTCTGCAGATAGAAGATGTTTATCAAGTCAATAGTCGAAACAATATGAACGAGACATTGTACAACTGTATTTACGAATTAGTAGTTCAATCCCAATGTATAACTCCGTACAGAATTGTCGTTGAATCTTCTACGCTAATAACAATTTTACACACAAATGTTGGCAGTGAAATTGGTATTATTAGTTATATATATTTTTTTTTATATAATGAGTTATAATTATTATTAATTTAAAATTGTATTTTTAGGTGCATTTTTTTTACAAAGTTTAGCGACCAAATTAAATACACTTAACGAAAGTAATAGTTTAAAAGTTGAAGATAAAGAAATAGATAATGTTCTGTTGTTATTGTGTTGTTTGTACGCTTTCAAAGTAAGTACGCTATTATAGTATTCCTTAAAATGTATAATTCATTTTAGTGTAAATAAATAGTACCTAAGTACTAAAAAGAAAAGTTCCAATACAGTCATAAAAATTTGAAAAAAAATTCCTTTAATGATGAATTTTTTTTAGTAATGAATTTATTAAATGCAAAAAAATTAATATACTTGGATGTACTTCTTACGTTAACATATTAACAAAGGTATCGTTTTACTTTTAGGTTTTCAACAGCGGATTAATTTTTGAAATCTTGGAAAAGTTTTTAGCAAAATTCGAAGAAAAACAAATTGATCTAATTTTAACCGTACTAAGAACCGTGGGATTTAATCTCAGAAAAGATAATCCTATGGCAATAAAGAAATTATTGTTAGACATACAGAAAAAAAATACCGAAGTTTGTAAATCTACCGACAAGTCAGTTGAAATCACATAAACCCTATAATTTATTAATTTTTTGTTATACATTTTTTTCTTTTCTTTTTAGTTCAAGAGTGAAGTTCATGTTGGAAATATTGTTGGCGATCAAAAATAACAACATTAACAAAATACCGACCGGTTCGGAACAATGTTACGCCACATACATAGAACATATACAAAAAATGATACGTACATTTTTTAGATACAACAAAACTCCAGCAGAGTTGGCCATAACGTTGGACGATTTGCTCAACGGTAAGAATAGTACCTATTAGACTTATTCGAAATTAATAATAATATGTATATGTCGTTTATTTTTTGTTTTACGTATCTCAGTGGACAACAAAGGTCGATGGTGGATCGTTGGCTCGGCATGGAAAGGCGACGAGCAATCGGCAAAAAATATTCTAAAGAAAACAACAGATACGTACGATAAGAAATTGTTGGAATTGGCGAAAAAATATCGCATGAACACGGATACGAGGAAAAACATATTTTGTATTTTATTCACCGCCGAAGTGGGTAGACGTTTTTTTTATTAGTTGTTGTAGAGATAAACAATACTCTGTTGTTAATTACAGGACTATTTGGACGCTTTCAATAAACTGGTTCGCTTGGGTCTCAAAGGTCCACAGCAAGAAGAAATCGTCAGCGTCCTCGTTCATTGTTTGTTGGTCTACAAAACGTACAACCCGTTTTTCGCGCTCGTGGCGCAACAGTTGTGCGAGTCGGATCGAAAGTATCAAGTAAGACGGCCGGTTTTAACTTAACCTATAGCCTATTTTTTTAACTCTTTTTTTACTATCTTAAGGCGTTTTTGAAACGTTCCATAAACGTGCGGATGGAAGAAATCAACAGCTTGAAAAAACATCAGCTGCCGATTCTGGCGTCGTTCTTAGCCCAGTTGTTACGCGACAACTCGCTGCCGATCACTTTGCTAAAGGTTCAAAACTTTCCGTTAACACATTGCATAATATTACAATTATTATTATGATTATTTTATATATTTTTTATTAACATTAGAATGTGGATTGGGGAAGTTTGAACAAGTTGATGGTGAGTTTTGTACGGCAAACTCTTATCAAAGTGTTGCAAGACTCGAACGACGAAGAGACGACAACGATATTTGTGAAAGCGTCGAAGAATCCCGGTTTGCAGTTTTTCCGCGAAGGCCTGTCGCTGTTCTTAAGTCATTTCCTTATCAAAAACTCTGCCCAAGACGTCAGCGACGACAAACTGAAACTGTTAACGAAAAGGGTGAAAACCGCACAGGCCGCACTGAACAGCGGTTAGGTTTTGTTGTTTTACGTGCACATCTAGAAGCCCTGATTTAGTGAATGACTAATTGGATTTCCACCCACCCGACTAATGGCATTAAACGTATTTGTTGTCTGTGCATTTAGTGTTTGCCTGTCGACGTGGTATCATTTTGTTATTTTATTTCAATATATAAGAATACTTTTAATTTATTTTTACTATTTTGTTTTCTCGCGAAGAAAATGCCGCCTAAAGATCCCGAATTGATCGCTCTCAAAAAAGAATTGGAAGACTTAATTGCAAAATGTCAGGTAATACGTTGTTGTCGATTAACAAATTATTTTTTTTTTTGTTACAAACTTGTTTATAATATGTATATATAGAATAAATATTGATGTATAACCCTTTATTTTTTTTCTTTTGCACAAAAAGTTTACCCGTAGTACGTTGTATTTTGTGAGTTAGGGTAGTCTGGGAAAACCACTTTATAATAGTTTTTGGTAAAACTCAAGGGAGCAAAAAAAAAACAAAATTTATAACTTAACAAATATCTTTAAAAAATTTTATTACAGTTTGAATAAACATTTTTACTATATTTTATAGTTATTAATTATGTTTTTTTTTTGTTCAGTATTTTGTGGGATGAGATTAAAAATGTGTTGGAAGACACAAAGGGCAAGGAAAATGTTCAAAACGTTTGGTTACTTTAGAAAGAAATATAAATTTTGGAAAGAGTCGCCCCTTCGGTTGTTCTAACGCCCACCTCTCCCCCTTCAAATCTTCTATTGAGTTAAAACTCGGATACTTATGTTCATTTAAACGTTTAATAAGTATATAATAAAATACAAGATAGTATTTTACCGATTGATCCAATGTTGTTTGTACTTGCTTGTCACATTGAATCGATTACTTACAAAATTGTCTAAACTAATAAAGAGACTAACGTGTTTGTTTGTCCTTGCACGTTATTAGAAAAAAATATATATACCTACTGAATAATATTACTAGGGTTTCGCATTATAGCTTTGGTAGAGGTTACCTTATGTTATTGATTTCAAAATGACCGAGCTCGCATTTGTTGTGTGTAATATATGGATTAAGTCTAATCTTTGTTGGGCAAAATTTAGATAATTCAACGAAAAAAGGATATCTGTTTAACCTTGAATACAATTTTGTATGCTATTTTTGTAACTCAATTAATAAAATACAATTAGTTTATTTATCATTAAAAAATTGAAATTATTCTAGATCATTTCAAATGAATTAAAATTTAAAAGCATAACAATTATTGTCTTATCTCTTAAATTCCTATTTCTTGTTTTCCTTAATTACTTGTTTTATCTTAGATTATTTTTATACCAATAATTTTATTATTTAGACATTTTAACAAATACTAAGTAGACGAGTTGCTTCGAGGAATATTAATTAACAGACAAGTTGAAACAATTAGTTTTTTCGTAGGTAAATAAACCTCCCCATAAGTGAATAGAGTCCCGTTTAATCGAATTTCGTTTAGTATTAAATATATTAAAATATTATTGTTTCTTAACATTTTTTTACAGATTTTGGTAAGGTTTCTTTAAAAGCAAAATTATCACAGACGGGGGGGGGGGTGGAAAGGCTGTTCCCCCTCCCTAAAAAATAAGAAAAAATTTATCTCAGCTTATAGTTTTACCGAACTATAAATAATCTAAAATTGTAAATGCCTCGTTAAAGGATCGGTCAAACAGAATGCGGACAAGTTTGAGCGAACCAGTGTGAAAACTGCCACAACCAAGAGTGTACTGCTGGTTGTTTTTTTAATTTTTACTTTTTTATCTCACGTTTACTGTTTTCATTTTCTTTAACAAAATGCTAGATTCTTCTGCTTGCCTTGAGTTAAGCAAGACGAAAAAAAATAAAATGGGTACACGAATTAAATAAAAAAAGAATAGAATTTGGGGAGTTTCACCGACTATGCTGTATTCTCGACGTTCAAACTAGAACTGAACTAAATTGAATTCAATAATTTAAGAGGTCATATTTTTATGAATTGTCTTAAGCCAGATATAAAACACTAAAATATTAGCCAGAAACTTGATGTTTTCATATACTAGCCACCTTAGATACGAGCTTGTTACTGCTTGTTAATATACTATATCATTATCTATAACTACTTTAAATTTATTTGATACTTCAACGAGACATGAAAACGCTCTTTCGTGGTTGCAGACTCGGCTGAAAAAGTTTATTAAATTTTACATTTTTGTGAAGTGTTGATACAAGTCTTTTGTCGAATCTGTCCATTTTTCTGTTTTTTTTTATAATCTGGATGCCACGTATTATACAAATAAACGCATTCTCGAACTAGATCAATCAAATCGTTCCGTTTCATCGGTCATTTTCAGCGCACAATTTTAAAATGAAAAAATTTTTTTAATTAAGTACAATATGTTGGCATTAATATAGTTTGTATATTTTATGTTCGATAATTATATAATAATAATATTTTAGAAGTGCTGATACGTGTGGAAAATCCAGTGTATTGTCTATATTAAATATATATTATATTTTTTTTATTTTACAAAATTATTCCAGTCCGCCGCGAACTTTGTGGAAAAATACAACCATCCGTATAGGCCGCTGTCTGTTTAACCGATCCTTAATTGGAGAGGAAAATATTAGTTTATTCCATTTTTCAAGTTTAATTAATTAAGTGAATAACTTTTAAAGTTAGGCCTACCATAGATTTACAGCAAAACCAACTGGTTGGTCATTTACGCGTTAACAAAACCTAACTAGTTTTAACTCGACATTCGACAAGTTATTTTGTTGTAATTAACTAGGTAAGTCATTATTTTCATTTTATTTGTAATATGAGACTGTCTTGGATTTGGAGAGTGAACTCAACTTAAGTATAGTATGGAGAGGTCAGATGCGCAATCAAGGAGGGGCTCTATCCTTTCTCTACATTTTTAAAATCAAATCAATTAAAGAGTAGTAAAAGAAAAGTATCATAAGAAAGAAATCAAAACAGAAGAATAATTGCTAATGCCTAATTAAATACCATGTGAGTAAATATTGTGTTTAATATTAAAGAGGAAGTATGTTAAGTTTTTCCTCGACCAATATTTTGTATAGGTAAACCAATAATTGTGCAACTTATTTTAGATAGGTATTTACGTTTACTTAAAAAAGTATTCAACTATCATTGACTTGTCCAGCATTGATACTAATTGTATAGTCAATAATAATATTATTTAATTGTGGTCTAAAAATATACCAAACGTCAAAATATGTATTAAAAACCTAATACTAAAACAACATTTTTTAAGACAAAAACAAACACTTTTTTCAATAATGATAAAACATACCTATACATTAAATTATCTCAATACTTAGTTCCACTGAAATGTATTATAAAGGTATATATATTTATACATTTATTATTATTTACACGTTTTATTATATTTTTTACCAGTTTTTACAAAATGTCAGTAAGTTATTATTTATAAAAAAATTAATATCCATTATCCAACTCAAAAATAAGTGTTTTATTCGATTTAGATGGAAATAATTGCCAGACTTTACACTATAATTACCTATTTAAATTTGTAATCAATGTGAATTGGAAAATTCTATCTACATCCTAATATGCAGTTGCTAACTGTTAGAGTAAATATTACTGATCTATAATATAGTGTATGACATCTAAGATTGGATAAGGGGACCACTATACCAGTTTTCAATGTCCTATTAGTATGTTCTAGGCAATATCATTGTGTAATTAAGAATTTTGTTGTTGCTGTTCTTTGTTTTTAGAAAGACCAAAAAAGCAAACAAGACAAAACCATCCAAGAAGTGTGCGGCGACATGTCTGATCCGCCCAAATGCAAATTGGTCACTAAAAAATTGCTTAAAGGACACATCAACAAAGTGAATTCCATTCATTACAGCGGAGACAATAGGTAGGTGTAGGAAATTGGCTACGGCGTGTGGTCGGTGTATTGCCATTTCATAGACATTTTTTTGTACATTATATCTCTCAGCAAGTTGATATTGTTTCTAAAGACCTAATCGTATTGCAGGCACGCTGTTTCTGGGTCGTTGGACGGAAAATTGATAATATGGGACACGTGGACCGGCAACAAAGTCCAAGTGATACCGTTGCGCTCGGCTTGGGTCATGTCCGTCGCCTTTGCGCCAACCGGAAATTTCGTCGGTTGGTGTATTTTCCCTAGAATATTGTCAATCATAAACTTCACATTTACTTACATCAGGCAGCTTAATATAGAACATTTTTCAACACAGATAGATGCTGCCAATGACAGAGAAATTCTACAAAAATTGCAAAGGCCAACAATCAGTTCAGCAGCAACTGTTTTGTTATGAGCCTTTACTGAAAAGAAAAAATAACCCCATTGTAGGAAGGCCTGAACTGAGCTTGGCTATCTTCTTAATGTTGGGCGAATTAATTTTTCAAAAATACTTAAATAAAGTATACTTAACAATGTATACTTTTCTCAAAATCATTCGTGCCTTTTACTTACCAGCCTTATACCACACGAGTGAAGCCAGCCATCCTAAACTACACACTCCATTGCATTGGCTCATTGTTTAAGTAGTATATTTTTAAGCTTAAATGAAAGCAGCTTGTGCCAATGTTTTGCAGCTTGTGGAGGAATGGACAACATGTGTACCGTTTACGACCTGAACAACCGGGACTCAAACGGAGGAGCGAAAATGGTTCGAGAGCTGTTGGGTTATGAAGGATTTCTGTCGTCTTGTCGATTCGTCGACGACAAAACATTGATCACTGGTTCGGGAGACATGAAAATGTAATAGGGGTTATAATAATTAATACTATCAGTTTTGGTTTGGGTTTAATCACTTGACAGGACTAGGCACAATTTTCATCCAACATGCGTTTCCTGTAGTAGTCTACATCAGGCATTGAATTTTACAGCTGATGTCATTATGCTCATTTGAATGGGGAATTAAGAAATTAATTAACTTAAGCATGGTTACCATTCATTCCCTTTGTACATATATTGCTGGATTTAAAACAGAAATTCACACTGCTATTATTCTCCTCGAAGTCCCTATCTTCCCCATTCTATGCCATTCATTGATCAGACTCTTTGATTCATTGGTCAACGTGTCAACTATTTCTCAGTCTCCGAACTATTGCACTAAGTGTACAACTTTAGCAATACTAAAAACCGACAGAATTTTTGAGAAACGAGCTGTATTATGATAATTTTGTGTCGTTTGTATTTCAATATAGCTGCACGTGGGACTTGGAAGCCGGCAAAAGGACAAACGAGGTGGAAGCAGCTCATTGTGGCGACGTGGTCTCGTTGTCACTGGCGCCGGACCTGAACACTTTCATAACGGGCAGCGTTGACAAAACTTGCAAGCTGTGGGATCTCAGGGAACCAAAGTGCAAGCAAATGTTCTTTGGTCACGAGGCCGACGTGAATTCTGTTTGTGTAAGTTATCTTGATTACTCTAATCCAACACCTTCTAAGCTTGAACGGCATATAGGATTTAGGATAGGACTGAATACTATGCAAGCTACATTATTCTATTGGATCTCTTAGCTTTTAAACTCGAAATCATAGTTAACGCGATTGAAATTCGCTAATATTAGTTAACTTTATTAGTTCAATGATTTATAAAAAAAAAACGAGAGACTTGCGATTAGATGGATCATTTTGTAAGTACATGCATTACTATAAATGCTCCTGGTGGCTTGGTGATTGGCTTTTTGCTAGAGCAGGTGTTGTGTGGGCCTTAATGATTGATCATGTTCAATTATGTAACTTGTTCTTAACCCCCTGGTTGCATTGATATGATTGTATAAGTAATTTTCGCCCGCAGTATCACAACAGCGGTTTTGGATTTGCAACGGCTTCAGAAGATAAGTCGGCTCGAATGTATGACATCAGATCCGACCAACAAGTGGCCATGTACAAACCGCCCAACGGTACTTCCGGATTTACGTCTTGCGGTCTGTCCGTATCCGGTCGATTTCTGTTTGCCGGCAGTGACGACAACTCCATTCATATCTGGGACACGATGAAAGTCCAACACAACAGTAATTATTCGTCTTCTTTACATTTGCCTTTAACTTATCCCATGCAAATGGTATTGGCCAGCCAATTTTTTCTATCTTCAGAAATCAATCACTCGCTCATTATCCGCATCCACAAACTTTTTCTTCCATCTGCTTCTGTATAAATCTCTCTTATCAGTTTTACTATTTTATTTTCATTGAACAAGACCAAACCATCTTAATACTAGTTTCGCCTTCTTTAGCAGTCAGAAGGGGGAAGGCCATTTCTCGCCTTAAAAATCTCCCCTTAGTTACCGTTTCTATGTACATATTATCGGAAAATTGTCTATACCCATTAAAGAGCGGAGGAGGCTCACTTTGGTGTCCTACCTGGAGCTAGGTCGTTAGTAATTTTCATAAACTGACCTTCTTTACTTCTGGCATTCTAGTTAATCCTTCTTTTTGGCTGTCACTATTGACTCGACATTAGATAGGAGTTTCACCTTCGAATCGTCTGTCGCTTCCAGTAGTTTTTTCCTTTGAGTCTTCAGAAAGCTCTTCCACAAATCAGCATTCCTCTGCATACTGTCCATCAATCAAAGCCTATGACTCGACATTGATCCTCAGGATCCTTTGATTCGCAGTTTCCCTGGTTGTAGATAACACTGACAACCATTTGAATATATTTTCTTTCATTTTAACATGGTTATGTTTTATGGCTGAGGGTCAATCCAAAATTAGCATGGACATTTTCGCGTCGTCGTCACGAAATCTGTTACATTTAATTTGATAACCTAGAAACCTAGTAACCGGATACGGAAATCTTGGATTGAGAAAAGGAAGGAGAGAGGCATTTATCAAATACAAAAAAACATACTCATATAAAAACATACCCATGATTCAATGTTTTTCAATTATTCTAATTTTCAAAATTTCCTCTACAACTTTATCTCTTCATTCTATCAATATCTGATACCAACCTCCTTCTGAGACACCTCCACTCTATTAACTACTTGATTTTCAAGCATAACCGATTCTCTGCCTCCGTTCCATTCGTTACTAGTCATTATAACGGCTGTACTGATTGGTGTAATGTGTTTTTTTTTGTTCTTGAATAGGTACAATGTCCGGTCACGAGAACAGAGTGACCTCGCTGAGCGTTTCGCCCAACGGCATGTCGGTGGTCTCCAGTTCGTGGGACAACAACGTTAGGGTTTGGGTTTAAACGGATTTAAATATCGTTCAATCGAGTGGCATCACACGAATACTTTTTATGTGCTTTGACGGGGTCCTTTTATTTAATCGAAATCAGTGGGTATAGTTTTGACAAAAAAAAAATATTTAAATCAGAGGAGTAAATAATTGTTGTTTAAATCAAAATAGTGATTACCTATACTACAGCAATATTAAATACACCAATAGCCTATACACATAGTCTGTCCCACGAATAGCATGCTTGAATGGCAATTACTACTTTATCTTTCATCACAATGTTTGTCACGCTTTCCATCCTTTTCAGCGGTTACAAAAAAAATAAACATAATCGACAGACGACATCTAATTTGGCTTATGCCGTGTAATAACAGTTAGCACTCAGTATTTAATTGTTATTTTAATAATAAAGACGTCGTTGTTCGTGAACTGTCTATATTGTATGGCGTGAACCTACTTGGCCACATCATAATATTGAAATATGATTGCCCGTTTTCAACAGCTGTCCTTATTCGTCCTTTTTGTGTTTTCAGGTTTGTACCGTATCTATATAACGTTTACACATACTTGTACGACCTATTAGGATGCACATCTTGTTCTGTGTAACTTGTAATGTATAATTAAAATCGTCACCCTAAGCATCATAATTAAAAACTTGTCTCGTTTCAAATGATTATTATTTCACATTAAATCATGCCATGTGACATTTGTTTTCAATCGATTGCTGCAGTCAATTGATCAAGTCTGCTTAGGTCATGTCTGTGCAATGCTATGTATAGGCCCATCTGTATAATAGCTAAATAAAACCACTCGAACTTAGAGGTCGAATCGGTACATATTTCTTCGGACTAGGTCTTATGAAAATGAATATATTTAGCAAAGCACTTCGCATCGAGTACCTAAGTATTAGCAATATGGTACTTATTAAAACAGAACTGATCATTTTGAGCGCTCATAAAACAACGGTAATAAAACGTCTAAAGGTTTATAGTAACAATTTTTCGAGACAATATTTAAAAAAAAATTAATATTATTTTATCTCTTATCCGGTACTAACGGGTTTTGCTGATTTGAATTTTCACATCCTGTATATTATGTTTGGGGCGGCTACACATGTTTAATTTATACCGATACGGTTTGTTTTGTTTCCGGTCTCAAAGTGGTGTTTTTTTTTTATATACACAAATTTATATTTGTTTGAAAATTGTTGGACGGCCTGTTATAAGATATGAAAAAATAGGAGAAGTTAATGCTGACAACCTCTGCCCCCACTCCCCCCACCAGTAGGACTTCTGATAATAATTTGCTTAGATTTAACTTCACATAAATCCCACAAGCATACTTGGCTCACCAATGGTTTGTTCAGGGAAGAACAGTAATGCAGATGTTTCTATAGTTAATATTTTCATTTGCTTACTTCAATTGTAATTTTTAACAATGAATTAAGTGTGAATATGTACGCGAAAACAAGTAAATCTTAAATATTTTATTTTATGCCCCAAAATAAATATATTATCAAAAAGGAATTGTTTGATTTGCCGTAAGCGAAAGCATCAAGTAGAATCGATTAAGAAGCAAAATTAGACAAAAAAAGTTTTTATTATAATAAAAAGTATTTATTGTCTATAAAAAACAACTGGTTGAGCTACTTGTTTATTGATTTCAGTACATTTTAATCATTTTGAACCTTCAATTAGTTTTCATGTTTAATTGAAATAAACTGATTTCTTATGAATTCGCGTGTCATGTCGTTTGGTAAATTTGTAATTAATTCCTCAAGAAAACAATTTAACGCTTATGTGTTGAAATTAAATAAAAAACAACCATACGACTTGTCATCAAACTGTATAAAAACTTGATTGGCAGACAAGTTTGTGACACAGGCCAACTACTCAGCCCATATTACGGTAAATAGATGTCTAAAAAATCCAAAATAAAGTTAAAAATAAAATACACAATTATTTATAAGTAAAAAAGAAAAACATTTGTATTATACGAACGAGGAAAAGTTTTTAAAAATTTTTGTTTACCAACGAATTTGTCTTAAACGCCATTGTAATGATTATAGGTGATTATTATATTGAAGAAAAAACAATTTTAGTTTAAAAAAAACTAGATTAAATGATATTAAAAACATTTTTCCTTTAACATTTTTTCTTTTAATCTTTAACGGTAGTACAATATATTATTATTAAAACAAACATTTTAACCGCTTTTTTTTTACCTACTTAATTTTCAGGGAGTTGGAAAAAGTAGTAAACAATTTTTTTTCTTTTAATTGTTATCTTGTCTACGGTTTTAAGAAAACAAATATGATTTTAATGCAGAGAACATTAATTGTATAATTATGTTGATTTCTGGAAATAAATTTATCATAACTCAACGCCAAAACTATTATTATAGTTATTATTAGCCAAGTTAAAATTTCTATTAGTTTTCATAATTTTAGTTGACCGTTATTGTTGGCTTTTATAGTTGTATTCTGTACTGTAATAATGGAATAATTTATTAAATTGTACTACTTGTATAATAGTATAATCACTGTTGTTAAAATTGTTATAAAAAAAATCCTTATCAAAAGTAGTAAGTGCTTTTATTATGGTAATATTTATTTAGTTTTGTATTTTTCTTAGTTTTATCAAATATTATGAAACATAAATGGTAACACATATCAGGTGCCCCACTAGCATTTGACCTTTAAAATATATCCTTGGAAAATTAAATTGTTTAAAAAATTGTTTTTGTAAAAAATTCGATTTACTAGACAAACATTTTTTTCATTTTTTGGAACATAAAAAACGACACACTCGATACCGAATTCGAACTTGGCATATTATAACTCAACAATATTTGACCACATCATGCAATTTTTGATAAATTAACAAAAAACACCTCCTCAAAAATAAGATTTAAATTTCAAAACTAATACCAAATGGCAAATTTAGGAGGTTTTCATTTCGATGGCCTTTATTTGAGAATACATACAGAATTTTTTAGACTGAATCTTACAAACTATGATAAGAAAAAAAATAACTAGGTAGGTAGGTATAGATACTACTCGCTGTACATCATGGCTGTAGCATAATATTATGCACAACATAATGTATTAATATTTAAAATAATATTCCCTAGTCCCTATTAGGTTATCACTATCACACAACAGTGAAGATGAGTGGTTCATTATTTGAAAAATCAAGCTTAACAACAGTCCAAGGAGAAATTTGCCAATAATTACACCAGGTCAGCCTCGGGTTAAACACATTGTTTTTTAATTTCAAATTTGTTTTAACTGTAAATTATTTTTCAACAGCAGCCTCGGCACAGGTTCATATGAATCGTGAAAAAATGAATTTGTGCTTATTTGAGCAAAAATGTGTGATTATTAATTAATATTCTTTATCGCCTAGACGCATCGTTCCATGTTATAAAGACTTTAGACCCAATACTAAAATCCATTGAAAAAACATATGTACATCAAATATTATGTAAAATTCGTGTAAACAGTTAAATGTGTAACGTTTCTGAATTTTTAAACTATTTACAATAATAATGATTAATCGTATTATCGAAAATGTAATTAATTCTTATATTTTACACGAATACATATTTTTAATTCAAATTTATTCTTTGATATGAAGATAAGGTGTAGGATTTGTTGTTTGAAAAGTTAATAAAACTTAACCTTAATATTCTTCAAGGTGTTCGGTATAGGCAATTTTTTTTACAAAATCGTATTTTAAAAAGGTTAAACTGAGATGTGTAATTATTAGTTCAGTAATTAGGATTCTTTCACATTGGAATCATCAAACTTTGTCTGAATTTTGTTTTCATCTAAACATAGCTACGCATATTATTATCTATTATCGGTTAAATAATAATGGCAGGACATTTTTTTTTACATATTTTAAATAATGAGAACATTATGGTCGGTTTTTATTTTTATATTAACCTAACATTCAAAATTTACTACTTTTTTAAGTGCCCCTCTATGTAAGGTAAAATATAATTTTAATACCGACGGTCTTAACTATAGTTGTAAACTGTAGTTTTCCTCTTTTTAACGGTATCAACGTTTGTTTTCAATGACCATTTCGTTTTGACCTATACACGTTTTTAAGATTATTTTTAAAGGGCATGACTTCCACTTAAAGCCATAAACTAAACAATTTTAAGTATATTGATTACATACAGTTATTGTTTTTTTTTCTTATAAGAAAAGGAAAATCTACTAAAAAGTCAACGACAATTATTTTAAAACTGAATGGGTGAGTGGATAAAGGTGTTAACTGACAATTTCAAAACCGTTAAGGAGGCGAAATTTTAGTCAATATAATATTATATTCAAATGCTTGGAATTTTTTTTAATTTTTAAACTCAACACACTGAACTGTTATGATATTTTGCTAAATTGTGAAGTATAATATTATCCTAATACAACACTTATTCGTTCAAACTATTTTTATAACAGCTATTCAAACTAAAACCCCGGGTTTCAAACGTATACTATTTGCTATGGATTTCGATATGGAAAGGAAAAAAAATTAGTCAAAACATACCTATTATTTCCATCTTGATGCAAAACGTACTATTTCCAAAACAAAATATTATCTTTTATTTTAATTTACCGTTATATTTTATTAAATTATATGGTTTAAATAAATTATAGAAAGCGGTCTTTAATTTTTTTTTACCTATACTTACATTAAACATTATGCCAACATAAATAATTATAAAACAAATATCGTTGATATCTTTCCAAACACTATAAGTTATTCCCGCCAAATGTTTGCGATAGCCTGTTATGTGTGATAAGGTTTATTTATCTTTAAAAATTAAAATCTTAAATCGTGATTTTCTCAATAATTCTCCTTATTATACCGGTAATTTAATTAATTTGAATTTATGTTAGACTGAAGTAATGTTATGTTCATTTTTAGTACATTTATTTGTGTTTTGCTTTGACTAAGTTCAAAGAAATACTAAATATTATAGATTTGTGAGTTGATTGTTTTTCAAATTTTTTTTCGACAATACATTTTAAGGAAAAAAAAGTGTTTTTACTTTAATCTAGTTGAAATATTTAAACTTATTTAGCTAAAACAGAACGTTTTGGAAAAATCACAGTCGAAACATACTATTTCCAATGATCAAAGCAAAATGTACTTACTATATTGGTTGAAAATAGTACGTTTATTGATGTAATTCAATGTTTAAAAAATCGTATTAAAGCATGTGAAAAATACTTTTACCAACAACACTTGGTTTAAAAAGTCAGTAAAACTCCAATAGTACTTTTTGCATTTTCGCCCCACAATTATTTATTGTCTTACAGAATTTCAATATTTTACCATGTGCCAACCGGTGATAATATGCAGTTGCTATTTTTAATTATTTTTATTTGAAGGAAGTAACAAAAGTATTTTTCGTTATGGCCGGGGACATACAATGTATACCTCTGGCCGGGCAAACCGCCAGGAGGCGCTAAAAATTGTCTTTCCGTTTGTTGTCGTGGTTGTTATCACGTGCGTCTCATCCCTTTGTATCACTCCGTATACAGATTACATATGTAGCAGCTGCGGCTGCGCTGTACAGAGTGATAACATTGTGCTCTGAATAATAATAATAATATTCCAATCTGTGTACCGTGTGCAGCCCCGCTGCTGGCAACGACCGACAAAAGTGCGGCCGACGTCAGTCGCAATAGTATTGTAATAGACACAGTGATTTGTGCCGTCGTCCCTGATGGTAATTGAATTAACGTTAATTTGTGCGTAACGCGGTGGTTTCCGTGTACCCGTTCTGACCGGCAAAATGTGTTCATAAACTCGAACAATCTCAAATATAATAATAATATTACCCATCCACCTAATAGGTGTATAAAATTACAAAGTTACTTGTACACTGGAAAACGATCAAAATGAGAATACACACTGTTCTTGTGGCGACCGTCTTTGCTTTTTTGCCATATTCGGATATCGTATCCGCCGACACCGACACCGACCAGAGTGAGTAAAATGGGTACCTACACCTACCTCTAAACAAAAATACAATAATTTGTATGAATAACACACTTTTTTTGGTAGCTATTATATTATAAATTTGATTGTACAATAAAAAAATACAGCGATACCGACCGCAGCCGGTGTATCAGATAAAATGGTTTAAAAATTAAAACTGAATGTATAAATCGAATTTACTCTATACTTTTTTTTTAATAGAATTTTTAACAATAATCTTCCATTTTTTTTTTTTTGACAAATCTTGTACGATTTGCCTATTTTATAAAACATATCAATGGCTAAATTAATTTGCTTTTTTTTCTTGGAAAATCTACATTTTTCTATCTACTATTAGTTTACTTTAAAGTTCTTATTAGGTATTTTATGGGACTGTATTGTAGAAAATCTAACTATTTTTTTGTATACGCTTTGAAAAACTAAGGTAAAAAAAAAAGATTTAAAAACCTATTTAATTGTAAAATAATAAAGCAGAATAATAGTTACAAATTAATAATAGTATATATTTGAAACTAATTAAAACATTTGTTTTTTTTTATACTACTTGGTCAACTACGAAATAGTTTTAAATTTTTTTTACTTAAACTATCAAATAAACAATTTGTGTCTAATTTCTTATCTAAAACCTAATTTTTTATTTTAATTAATATTTATTTAGCAATTTCATAAGTATTTCACTAACTATTTGTGCAACTTAATACGCTCAAACGAGTAACAGTTAAAGTAATAAGTCTATTAAAATTAAATGATCTATAAAATATATGTCGGTGTACTTTACAAAGTAGTTCTTTGTAGTAAAATTATTCCTAATTCAGTAAAAGCAAACTCATCGATTTTTATTCTGTAATTTTAATTAATGGTTTTTTTTTCTGTGCCTCATTTATCGGATTTATTATATACATATATAATGTTACTAAAATGTTATCTAGTTCTTTGCATGCTTCCTGTTGGGTTTGTTATCTATATACTCAGCGTTAGGGTCAATAGGAAATGTCAATCCTGCCTTTATTGGAGTATAAAAATCTAAAAATTACATACACACTTTAAGAGATATTACATAATACAATAATATTACACATTATGAGTGTAATATATTTTTTGTTTAATAATAATTAAACCGTACAATAACAAGTACCGTTACTCGTAACAGCAGCTATAGCCTGCTTGTTGAAAACGTGCCGATTGAAAAGCGTACATATCCCATGTGTTCCCTTTATATTATGTTCATGGGCACGTCTTCAATACGTCACCATTGTAGGGTCGTAAAGGAGGTACATGTGTTTCGGACACTGGATTTTTTTAAACTAAAAAAAATAGATAATTTTTCAACGGTGTATGGTTTGGTTCATAAGTTTGGCAGGGAGGGAATGAGTTAATAAAAAAAAAATAATAAGCTTACAATTAGTACGTCAAAACAATTTTGGTTAAGACGGTTAAGGTGAAACAATGTTGAATATAAATTTTAAACATTTTGACAATAAATCGGTTTCTAGTATTTAACGTTACATTTTTTTTTGGTAATCTAGATAATGTTTTACCGACCCCCGATAGTGTATTTTGTCGTGCAGAACGCTCAGATAAGCGCGACAAAGCGATTGATAATTTTCATCAAATGACGGCTTTTTGGGTGACGCGTTATGCATTTTTAGTAATTTTTGTTTTTTTTGTTAAGTTAGCTAAACAGCCCTTCAGTAACGCGTTAAGCTCAATATAACTGATGTACGTATATTTTTTTTAGATTTGCTGATCATAACAGTTGCGTCTGAAAAAACCGATGGCCTTAAACGATACCTTCATTCGGCCAACACTTACAATCTCAAAACCAAAGTATGTACCATAAGTCGTTGTGAGTAAGTCTTAACAGAAATAATATTGTGTATTACAATGTAATGATTGTATTCGAACGCAGATAGTCGGTCTCGACAAACCATGGTTGGGCGGAAACATGAAAAGCGTGGGCGGCGGCTACAAACTTAATTTATTTCTCGAAGCTCTCGAGCCATATAAGGACAACGACAACTTGGCTGTTCTACTGACTGATGCGTAAGTTAACTTCGATAATGTTTTGTGTATTGTAATAATAATTATATTATATATTATAAATTTCAATTATCAGGTACGACGTAGTGTTGTTAGCAAACAGCAGCACAATTTTAAACAAATTTAACAAATTTGACGCTTCAATCGTGTTTTCTACCGAAAAAAGTTGTTGGCCGGACGTTAAATTAGCCAGTCAGTATCCTGTGGTCGAACAGGACGGTTATCGATTCATAAACTCTGGAGGTTTGATTAATAAAATATTTAAAAAAAAAAAATAAACAGCATACAATACTTGTTATATTATTGAACAGCTTTCATCGGCTACGCGAGCGAACTGTATAAACTCTTGTCGGAAAAACCTATAAAAGATTTGGACGACGATCAATTGCACTTGACAAAGCTGTTTTTAAACGCCGAACTTAGAGAAAAACTTAACATCAAGTTGGACAACTATGCCAGTCTGTTCCAAAGTCTTTACGCCGTCGAAGGTAAAATGTTGAAAATTTAAAAACTATATTCAACACTAACCAGCTGTTTGCTTTGCCGTTGTAGACGACGTCAGGTTGAGGCTGGTCAACAAATCGTACGTGCTGGAAAATGTACGTTTCAATACTCATCCGGCTCTGGTTCACGGCAACGGAGTGTCCAAAATGACGTTAAACAGCTACGCAAATTATATACCCAACAAATGGTCTCCCGAAATAGGATGCGATTTCTGCAAAGACGGCAATTTGGATTTGTCCACTTTAAACGTAAGTCCAACCGCACACCTAATGTTCTTAGTACGATTTTATTAGCTGGGCTGAAGTAAATATATCATAATTACTTTTTTTTTTTTTCAGCAAGAAAACTATCCGATAGTTTTGATATCTGTAGTTATCGACAGGCCTACGCCGTTCTTTGAAGAGTTTTTGGAAAAAATCCAGAACCTTGACTACCCAAAAACTAGGATATTTCTATCAATAACAACATTGGTGAGTGTCGATGAGAAAACATTTCAATTTCGGACAGAGTTGGTGACGACCCAATGAAGTTCATATTTTTGTGTGAACACCAAACATTTCCCGTGCTCAAACAAAGAAAATCCGCTATTTTTAGGAGGATTTCTTTTTTTTTTTTTGCCAATTGAAATTAGGATTTTAGTTACGATCTCGTTTTAATTAATATATATCATGTACTTTTTACCAAACAGGTAGCCTACCATAAAGACCAAGTGGATCGTTTTATTTCTAGAGTAAGCGATCAATACAACGGCACGTTTGTTTTCCATAAGACCGCCGACGACGGCATTCACTCTCGTCATTTTGCATTGTAAGCAATGCGTACTTGCATTTGAAATGCCCCGTTTGTTTAATTGTTTCATACTGTTTTTAGTTCGCTGTGCACGAGCAAGTCGTGTGATTACTTATTCTACGTAGAAAGCGAGGCACACTTGGACAACTCCGAAGTGTTAAAAGTATTAATCCAACAGAACAAGTAAGACGGATATAATTTTATTAAAAAACGAATAAGCTCATAATTATAAACAATTTTTTTTTTTTTAGAAAAATAATTGCCCCAATGTTAACGCGGCCTTTTAAGGCGTGGTCAAACTTTTGGGGCGCTTTATCTAAAGATGGATTTTACGCTCGGTCGTTTGATTACATGGATATTGTCAATTACAACAAAACGTATGTAACTTAAACTTATTATAACGACTTAACTTAAACTTATTAGTAGTATAATTTGTCTTAAACAGCGTGTCGTAATAACTTAACTCGAATTAATTATGGTAATAATTGATATGAACGTATGAAAATTGGTTTTACGATTCAAAAGCAATGCTGAAATCGGTCTTGAAACTTCTTCTGTCAATGCTGTAATTGTTGTCGGCCGAGCACTCGTAGACACCCGCGTCCATTTGAGTCCCAGGGTCGATTTCCAGTTTTGATTTTATTCTGTCCACACCCAATTTCCATTCGTGTACCTCGAACAATAAATTTTACAACATTTTAAGTATTTTGAACATTTTTAAAATTTTTTTTTTTTTAATTACTTACATGATGGTTGTAATGGTAGTACAGTTCAACGCCGTCTTTGAACCAAGTGATCTGAGGCCTCGGATCGCCTCGAGCCACGCACACGAATATTATCTTATGTCCCAGCACGTATTCATAGTCGAAATGAGACGCCATAATAATTTTGGCTCCCTTGTGGAAAATTTAAAAGAACAAAAAAATTAGATGCTGTATAAAGCTTATATATATATATATATAAAAAAAAAAAAAATTAATTACATCGTTGTGATTGTAATATTGATCGGATTCCGGATCTCTGTACTTTCCCGTGATGGGTAATCCGATTTGAATTTTGTTCTTCGATCTGGTTTTTCCTCGTCCCCGTTTGCCGTTGACGTTCACAACGGCCACCAACAGTAGAATTACAACGCACACAACAACGATACATTTTTTGGTCGACATAATTTGCCGTTTGGATTTTAAAAATAAAAAATAAAAATAAATAACTTGTTTTTATATTTCTAATGTTACCCACTGGTGGTTTTGAAATAACTGCTCCACGTATTTATCTGCCGTGTGCTCAAGTTAGCTTCGCGCTGTCAATTAATGTGAAAATTATACCGAGTGAGTTTTTCTATCCCGACCCTTTCCTAGTTGGTTAAATGGCACTTCCTATTGTTTGCCGGCTCTAATAAAATTCCCCTGCATGTATTTAATTCTGTGTAACATTAAATTGGCACAAAAACAACACAATTAACTTGTTAGTGCATTTATAAATCAATCGGGCTTGGGTTTTGATTTAAACATAAACTCATACCTATTAAATACATTTTTTCTATTTCTGCAGATTGTTACAAAACATAATTTTTAAGATGAAATCGATGTTTTCAATAATTTTAAATACTTTGCAATTGTATAATGTGGAAAAAGTACATATTTCTCTTAAAAGAAAAACAGAAAACACCTGTTTCCCTTTGATTACGGTAGAACAAAAATTTTAAGGCTAATTTCCCAAAAATTGCCTAAAAAAGTACAATAAACTTTTTGGCTTTGGAAAAAATAATATAACGATATTGTTATATTAATTTTTGTCTTAATTTCAAGTACATTTTTATTTAAACAATTTAAAAATAATTGATATAATTTTTCATTTAAAAGTAATAATGGAAATAATATGACAAATAAGTTTAAATAATAAAATGAATTCAATTTTTTTTAAAAAACAACAGAATATTTGAAACAGTTCAAATAAAATATCATTTGAAATTATAAATAGTAAAAATGTATTTAAAATATAACTTAAATCTAACCAAAAAAAGGGGGGAACATTTTTTTTCTTACTTTACTTTTTTAGGTCTAGTTTTTGGAAAACAGTTTTAGAATAGTACTAACAGTAATATATATATATATATATATATATATATATATATATATATATATATATTATGTATTTATCAATTAATATGATTATTAACAACACATGTGTATTTAAAATAATTTATATTAATATATTTAATAGTGTCTATTTGAAAGCGATCAATCCAAGTTTGAAATAGATTTATTATAATTATATATATATATATTTGTTTCCCATTATAGAGGCGTATGGAACGTACCATACATAGCAACCTGTTACCTGATGAAAGGCAAAATTTTAGATAACAAAATCACTAGACCTTCGTACAAACAAGAAGACATGGACTACGATATGGCTTTTTCAAAATCGTTGAGGGACAAAGTAAATTTTTCAAACCAACCAAAACAACTATTATACATTGACTTATTTTGCTTTATTTTGTTCTCAGGGAGTTTTTATGTATGTCGATAACCAATACACGTACGGTCATTTGATCGATTCGGAAACGTTTGACACTACTTTGAAACACCCCGAAGTCTATCAGTTGTTCGAAAATCGATACGACTGGGAACAACGCTACATTCATCCGGAATATATGGAAAACTTTAACCCCGACAAGGACCCCGCACAGGTAGTCACGGCGGACAAATTAAACAATATATATAATTTTTTCTTTTTATTCACATATATATATCATTTTTCGTTAAAGCCTTGTCCGGACGTTTTTTGGTTCCCCATCGTCACTGAAAAATTCTGCACAGAGTTCATCGACATCATGGAAAATTTCGGTCAATGGTCTGACGGCACGAACAACGTAAGTATAAAAACTACGCACACAAATGTGTCGTTCGAATTAAACGTCCGATAGGTAAATTTGCAAAATACGATAATTTCGAAGGACACTCGTCTTCGAACCGGTTACGAAGCCGTGCCCACCAGAGACATACACATGAATCAAATCGGACTCGACAAGCATTGGCTCGAATTCCTCCGTTCGTACGTGTCACCGCTACAGCAGAAAATATTTATCGGTTACAATCACGACGTATGTGTGGGAGGAACGGTTTAAAAAATACGAACCAACCAAAAGCAAAAAAATCTCTAATAATTAGCATGTGTGTGTTCTCTGCTTGTCACATATTAATCTTTAGTGTACTTAAGTTACACCCGCTCTCGGTAATATTAACATATATAAATTATATTGCATGGTAACAACTTAACTCTAGGACCCGAGATTGGACACCGGATACGAAGCCGTGCCGACCAGAGACATTCACATGAGACAAGTCGGTTTGCACAAAGTGTGGCTTAAATTCTTAAAGCTATACGTTTCCAGATTGCAAGAGCATGTGTTCCTCGGCTATTACTCGGACGGAGTAAGCTGCTTTTTAATTTCAAAATTAATACCGCTGTTAATTTTACCGTCAATCCGAATATTGTGTAATGCTTGTAGTTACTAACGGAGAAAAAAAAATAGAAGCTTGCTGTAGAATTGAACAATTAAGGCTTAAGTGTATTTTATTTGTTTAACTTCAATCGATTGATCCAGTCAGTCAGGAAAAAATCCCAATTAAACTTAACAAATGAAAATGTAGAAACTCATTTTTTAGTTTGGTTTGGATCTTTTCGGCTATCAGCTAAATCTCCGACTGGCCTATAATTTATTAAAGTACACGTAAAATATTATCGTTACTTAAATTTTGCTTTTAATGCTACTATTTTAATTAATCCGTATGCTAATCTGTTAATTACTTTGGTTGGTTTTGTATATAAAAAAAAGATATATATTTATGCAAAAAAAAAAAATGATATATAATATCTGTTTGTTAATTTTTCTCGTGCAGCCTCCACGTTCGATAATGAACTTTGTCGTCAAGTACAACCCGCACGGTCAGGCTTCGTTGAGGCCTCATCACGATTCGTCTACTTACACGATAAACATCGCCTTGAACAAGCCCGGTATAGACTATCAGGTGAGTAGTCGGACAACGTAAGTTCATTATAAGGTTTTAATTGTTTTTCGGTTTTTCACAGGGCGGTGGTTGTCATTTCCTGAGGTACAAGTGTAAAGTGACCGACATGAAGGTCGGTTGGATGTTAATGCACCCCGGACGACTGACTCACTATCACGAGGGTCTTGAAGTGACCAACGGCACAAGATACATTATGATATCTTTCGTCGACCCGTGAACGAAACATATTTCTCGATACGCTAGATTAATTAACTATTGAAACGACGACGTCTCTCTCTTGCTTTTTTATGTTTCTTTCTTAACAATCTTTTTGACTCTTTTGCTTTTTTTATTTATACTAAATAAATCAAATTTTTATAATCGGTTTTTTTTATACGTGTGTGTACACATTTTGTTTATGTAATTTTTTTTTGAAAAAACTAATTTATAAAAAACGATATAGCTACATTTGTTTTTCTAAAACTGAAGCGAAAGCCGATCAAAACTTTGACAGTACGAACGGTGTGTTTCGACTGGTTTCTTTGTATTCGGGTACGGAAATCTTACAGCAAAACAACTACATTAAAATTGTAAAAAATTCTCACACCAAAGTCTGTTGGCAATGGTTAGATTTGGATTTTTTACAGAAAGTTTTCACATTCTTTGAACATTTATTTAAAGAGAATTTATCTAAAGACAGTAAAAAAAAACTATTAAAATATCAAAAACTTTCCCAAGAAAGGAGTGTACTTTTTAAAGTATTTTTACAGTTTTATTAAAACATATATTTTATTTTATAGGTTGTTTTAGACTTATTAAGACAAAATGTATCGAGCAATAATAAAACAAAGACATTTTAAAATGTTTTGTGTGTAACAAAAATGTACAATTTGTTTGTATTTAATTTGAATTTTAGCAAATGCTTTAATTAGTATTTATACATTTTTTTTTTTGGTCCAACATCAAAAAGCTGACAACAACTTCAACGATGTTAAAGCTTAATTTTTGTGAAACGCAAAAAAAAAATTGTTTTCATTTGAATCATATTCAGATAACTTAATAGTGCAAATTTCTTTAATTTATTTTGTTAAGTTAGCCAAAATTACAATTTTATTGACTTTCATCTTAAAAAAGGACTACATTACAATTTGAATTGGGTATATTTGATAATCATCTATTAATTGTTTAGATTATACTTAATAGTGTTTTAAAGTACATTTTAATTGGTAAGTAATTGGTATATTGTTGTTTTCAGGTGGAAAGTCAGTATATTTTAAGTAGGTACTTGTCAAGACTTGAGTAAGTATAATATAGCAAACTGATTAAGCAGAGTAATTAGTGATCAATAAAAAAAAATTGTTGGTATCTTCCCAATATTTGTTTTATCTGTTTTTCAATACTTAATCTTTGTTGTGAAGTAGAATTTCTCAAGTGATTTTTGAACAATTTCAGCTTCGAAAAGGATCTTTCAGCCGAATAGTTGCAATTATAGAAATTGTCAACAAAATTTAAGTACATCACAAAAAGGAAGCTGTTGGGTATATTTTTGAGTTGTGCCAAAGCAGTTTCTTTTTACTGTCGCATTCATTAAAATGCGATTTGCCAAACTTTTAACGTTGCGATGGAACTTTAGTTGAAATATTCCATTTAAAAGAGAAACCATAAACAATTGAAACAATTGCGTTGTAGTTTTGTCTCAATTCTAATAATGACACATCCAACAAAATGTTGCTTTTGCACAAAGGGACTAGAAGTATTTATTATTCAAGCACATTTGCCAAACATTAATTGAAAAAGTATACAAAAACCTTGTACTACAATTTTGTTAAGGAGACCTTTATTTTTTTTGATACATTTTTTAAAATATATTTGTATGTTTATATATTTTTCAATATAATATATTCGAATGGGAATTTGTTAAAAGAAACATAATATGTCACTTTTTAACAACTTTTCAGGAGAAACAAAAAACTATTTTGCTCTTTATATAAATTTGCTTATTCGGATCGATCATCACAATTTCGATCAAGTACAAACTAATTCAATATAATATAATAATGAAATTAAATAACTTTGGTTACTAAGGATATACATAACATTATATGAGAAGGACCTTTTTAACAAAAAACGGCATGTAACTTAGGTCACTCTTAACAAATTACTATTAATTTGTTTACATTTTATAGATATCCTTCATTAACCGCATGTCTGGTTAACCACATACCGCATTGACCGCGTTTGGTAAACTTCGGTAATGATGACTGTCGGCCATCGCTATTAGCTTTAATATTTGGCTCTTGTAAAATTTTTCGTTTTACGGCTACACTTTACATTTTTTAATTTATTTAATGTTTTATTATTTTAGTTTTTTTTTTAACCGTTTCGCTCCTTTTTTCGTCGAGCTGTAATTTATTAGTACATATTGTGTAAAGTGTTCTATTATCTTTCTTTAAGTGTGAACAAAATAGGTTTCTTCTTTATTCTATTTTAGTAAAAGACGGCACAAACTGCAATGGTCAATACTTACCGATTACTTCATGTAACAAGTCTATAGATAAGAAATCCTATCTAAAAGGTATTTTATATAATATATTTAATAGTATATATTGGCCCGAAAATTGCTCTCCGCCCGTTTTAGGGGGCACGGAATTTATGATATTATTGGTGAACTTTTTCAACTTTTGGCCGGATTAATTATCTTTTGGGTACGATTTCTTATCAATAGAATTGCTATTCGAAGTAATCCAAAGGGTTTCCTTCCTAATGTAAATATACTTGAATCTTATAGGAGTGAGTCGGTGTGACCTCATATAACAGTATGAAAGAGGACATGGACCTCAAAAGGATGAGAACCTATTAGAAATCACACTGAGGGCGTTTTCTCTAGCTTGCACAACATTGTATGGAAAATAGATTATTTAAATTAATTAATAATAATAGTTTGTTTGATAATAATTTAATAGTAACTCAGTGGATATGTGTAGCAATTAATTGTACATATTAATTATATACCTACCTACGGCCACAAAACCCTTGTGACACCACTAATTTGACTGCTTCAACTTGCTGACAAAATTATATTACATTTTCAAGTGTAACATCTGTTTTGACAGCAAACTTCAGACACAGTATATTATTATGTTGCCTTGTTATACATTATAAATATGTACTTTCCTGTACTGGAAAATGTTTTGTTTTTTCCACATAACATCATCTATTATGCGATAGAATTATTTCGAAAATATTAGATTGTTTTGTTTAAATATTAATTCATTATTAGTTATACATTATAATATAATATAAAATTGTGCCACTAAACTATCTCCTAAGGTAATAGAAATTTTCCAATCCCATATTATACTCTTTTTTTTTTTTTTTTTATGCATTCCCTTCAAGTACAAAATGTCAAAAGGTTTGTGTGTAATATGTTTGTCGTCGAGAATTTTCTGTACAGCGCTGATATAGTTTGAATTCGAGTCTGATTTGATTGAAAAATCAATGCCCAAGGGGTGTTTTTTTAAAAACTTTTTAACGATCCAAACTCAAGAGTTTCTTAAGTGTTTCGGACAAATGTTGGCGAATATTTAAATTTTCAACAGACTTAACTAATAAGATACCTATACATAAAGTATTTCTATTTATTTCGAGTAAAAAAGTAGACCCGGTGGACTATTTGAAAGAACAGCTTTCGATTTGGAATTTCAAGATGACAGGTGGTGTTAAAGATTAAGATTCCCAGAATATGACCTTCCTATATATTTTGTTGAGTGCAGATTTCAATATTATTTCCAGAGAGTAAATTCACCATGAGAAAATGTGCACACTGATTACCAGGGATAAGGTTTACTATCTGGTTGTTTATAGTGGGCTTTTTATAGTGATCTCTGCCAACAACTAGGCGTTAAATGTTTGTTTTGAAAAAAAAAATGTAGCCATTTTCAACGCTGTGCTCGCTATGGGATAGTGTTCTATGTCGTCTCTAATCGACGACGGATATTACTCCATTGTTTGTCTCGTGTCATTTCCTTTATTGTACGTTCTCTGTATATTCTATTAAACAGACATGTGTACATCTTCGTCTCACAACTTTGCCGTCTCGAAAGCCTCCAGAGACATGCCGGATCGTACCAGTATATTATAAGCCGGGCTGTTGATATATTTATGGTTTTAGTTACAGTTAGAGTATTATTTTTGATGACGTGTGGTATTAAGGCCTGTAACTTGGAAATTATTGCAATTTTCTTTGTCATCCTTTTTGCGTGCAAGTTGATAAATGAATTCACACCGTTATTTAGGTCGTTCATATACTCGATCCGTACCTTAGAGCTTAATATATTCGGTGTAATATTAATATACATTGGGTTTGTGGTTGTAATTAATTACTTGGAGATTTAGGGATCGAACAAAGAACGGTGTTGACGGATAGAGACAGAGGATCTGGCTGCTTGACGCCATTTTTATGGTGTAAGTACATCCTATCTTGATTGATGTAAATGTAATTTTTTTTATTCGATGATTTTCAAACAACATTATTAAATTGAGTACACATTTATTATAATCCGAATAAACTGTGCATTCGAATCATGTCTCCAACACTGTCCAAGTCTAATGGAATAGCATTTTGGTATATTATGATATTCTCAGTGCATGAACATTGCGGCATGGCACAGGCACGTTTAAATAATTTTTCTATGATATTTATATACACTATTACTAACATTATACACAAACCCACTAACCTTTGCTTGAAACATGTGAATGCGAGGAGAATACGTTGCTCACAAACACTAATGATAGTTTACGGGTTACATACACAACTACAACATGTTTTTACACTTGGTCTAATAGCCAAGTGCCTAGACAATATTGTTTAATTAGAACTTTTGTCCGGGAATCTTGGGGTCAAAACTTTATCCATAATTATGTAAATTTGATAAATTTTAGGTTTGATTGTTCAAACCTATTTTAGATGTTTAAAATACAAACGTGAGCCATTAGTGAAATTACAAAGCTAAGGGTCCAACTTTAAATAGAGACTACAATAAAAAGTGTTGAGAAAACAATAGCAATAAAAAAACTCACTGATACTTGTTGGTTCGATCTTGAAGACAATGTATGTATACAACATATATATTATATTGTTAGTATTGTATTAAATTTTAAATTAAATACACTTGGGTCCGGGGTTGATTTATCTTTAATGACGTTATCGTCATTTGAACTTATTGAGTTTATATCAAAAAGTTTTCAAAGCAATTTTTTTGTCGTCCAAGATTCAAGACATTAAATAATTTATCAGTTTATTTAATGCCATTATCTTATTGTACAAAGTATAATGGCTTTAGGTTATATATTTGGTTACAAAAGTATTGAATTAAATCTATAAAGAGCGACATAAGGTAAGAATTAACCAAATGCAATTTTAAAATGTTATTTAATTTATTCGCATTATATTAATGTAGTTATAAACATTTATACACAAACAAAGTTACATTCGATTTATAAAACAGATGATAGGTACAATAATATAATATATAAATATAGAGAGAGCTTCAGTATAAGACAATGTTAGAACTAACTAATAAACTGTCGATTATTTTATTCGATTCAGATTCTCTACTATATTATATTAGATCAACGATTAATATATGCAATTTCACTTACAATGTGATTCAACGCTTTATATTCTTTATAACACGTGTTTTAAATAATATAGATATATTTCTTTAAAGATTAAAGAAACTACATTTTTTTTACAATATCATATATTTTTTTTTTATAATACTTAAAACTAAAAATCAACGTTAGTTTGGTAACTTAACTTATTACAGTGCTTAAGTAGTATGGTGAAAGTTTATACAATAAAATTTAACGGTTATGCGACTGGCCATTATATCGTTTTTTATCATTAAATCATTTCATCGAAATTTGAAAAACAAAATAGCCGATAAAGTAATTATAACGAACGCGGTCATATTATCCATTAACAGCAAATTAGAGTGTTTGTTTGCTTTACATTTGAGTTAAACCTACCGTTTGAGTGGTAAATAATTAGTACAGAAACCTTAAATAATAATGTATAAATAACGATAAAAAAAATTAGCAGAAGAATAGATGCAATAATAAATATTTGTTGATTATTATAAGCCAATGGCCTGGATTATTTACAAAATGTACAGTGGAAATAAATCTCAAGAAACGGAAAACTGAACGAAAAACACTATTTTGTATTTTAACAAGTTCAATTTTCTTTAATAATTTATCACAAAATATATATATGAATAAAATGATTACAGAAAAGCTGATTTATCTGTTGCAATAGTGGATGTCTTAAATATTTCATGAATATTTTAAATTTACATTATTAGTTTTGATGATAAGTTAACAAGTTAACCGGCAAAGTGTTATATTAGTATTTGATTAACGCAGAGTAAATACTGATCCAATTAAAGAATTGTAGTTTACTGTAAGAGTTGAATGGTTTTATTTTTCAAAATACAATTTAAAAAAAAAAACTTCTTACTTATTATAAGCCATGAAATGTTTAGACGAAAGAAGTATTGAAAAACTTTAAATTAAACAAGGAGCTGCATTATAATGTACTTGATTATATATTTTATTTTTTAAGTTTGCCCACGGAGAAGTTTAATCAGTTGTTCTGAAATAATTGTACAATAGGAGAATAAAAGAGCTTATTATGGAACCACATGATATACTATTTACAACAACAAGTTGGAACAAAACTTTTAGTAAAAATGTTCATAAATAACTAGGTATATTTTAATCATAATATAATATATATTCATTTCAACTTATACAATTACACATTGAATGTAAATTCATTTTATAAGAAAAAAACCTTTGGCAATTTGTTGTCGACAATAAAAATTAATGAGCTTAAATGGAAAAGCCACAGACTTCTTGTTGAAATTGCTGAGTTTGAGCTTTTGTGTCGTTGGATTGCTGCCGTGTTATCAAATTCTGGGGACAACAAAATTAACAGCTATAATATTTAAACTTATTGCTTCAAATCTAAATTATCTAAAATTAGTGGTTGTTTTTTTCACTTATAAATTAATATAATATAATATGATTGAAGTACAATTTTTAATATTTTTCACAGCACAACTTGAGAAGTATTTTTTTTTTTTGTGTATTTTATTGTTGTACGTTTTAAATTAACATGTTTGGATTTGTTGTACTTTCTCACCCGGAGTTATGTGTATATATGTAGAATCGGGATCCGTGTTGGGCGGTTGACAAGTGTAGTTTCCCGTGTCCATTTGAATGGCCTTATTGATTGTTAGACGGCTTATGATTTTGTGTCCATTTTTACCATTCTGTTCCGTGCTAATCGACAGACGGTCACTTTTCAATCCGTTCTGGTTGAAATGACTTGTGGAAATAATCTTGTCGTTGTGGTACCACAACACAAACTGTGGCGGAACTGGGCTCTGCAAAATAAACGGATTTCAACATTAACAGGTGACCACTTTGTTCCAAACCCTCAGTGTTCAGTGGTTGGATTACATATTAAATTATCCACTGGCTGCCACGAATAATAGGTAACCTAATCAGACGAGTAATTTGAAATGCAATTTAATTACCGGATCAAACGTTTTTATACCAAACGTCTTATGTCAAAAAAGAAATAAAAAAAAGCCACAAAAAATTTGTCGGATACTGTCAAAGTATGTACGCTATATTCTTTCAAGGTAAAAAAAAAATATAATAGAGATACGAACATAACGCAGACGTACTTTTAAAGTGACACGGTCAATTAATTTGAGTTAAATTTTATTTTTTATTTCGGAAAGAAGTCCAACAAAGAAAGTGCATGGCATGAAATAAGATTGGCAAGCTTAAGATAAAAATAAATTAAATTTAGTTTGCTTTTAGTCACGGACACTTTCGAATTCAAAAGAAAATAATAAACTTTTACATCATCAATCAGAGTCATGTTGTAAAAGGTTGGTGACCGAACACATTTACCATCAAAACTTAAACGACACGTGTTAAAACTGAAATAACTTGGAGATAGTGCAAACTTGGAATACACGAGAGTGCTTGTTATGCGTATCGCAGTCTTGTTATTAAAATATTAAAAGCAGAACAATTCGGAAACGAAAAATGTTTTGAAAAAAAATGTCAAAACCGCAATGTCAACATTGGTCTTTAATTTTTATGAACAAAATAACGCTGTATAATGATTGTGTAAACATTAAAAAACGTGTCTTAAATGTAGATTTTTAGCTTCGATGCAAATTTTAGAAAAAATTGGTTTAAAAAAAATGCATTTTCTCAACTGGACTGACAATGTCTGTAAACTGATTTCTTCACGAAGGGAGTCTATAGACCACTAAACGTGCACAGTAGAAACTGAAATTAATCTTTTAAGGAAAAAATTTCACTTCTTCTCCTTCAAAATGTATAAAAACAAAACCCATAAAAATTACGATATTTTATAGCTCAAGAATACCGCAAGCTAAATGTTAGCTTAAAAAAAGTAGTCCAATTACTTTCAAATATTTTGTTCTGTGAGTAGTTTCGTCACTCTCATTTATAACAATTATTAGAGATTTTTAACCTCCCCTCTCCTCGGTGACAACTACATTTTTGTTTTATATAAGTAATCACTGAGTTATTAATGAAAACGTTTCAAGGCTGACAATATTATTTCGCTATATTCTAGCAGTATATTATATAGTATGCGACAGAAATGTATCATCGTAAATCAACAGGTGAGAGAGAGTGATTTATCATTTTTTCCACCCATCAACTAAGTTCTTACTTCTTATAGTTGTCAAGAGTTCAGGAAAAATGGACTAAAGCTAAATTGTCACTTATAAAAATCGTCCGTTATTATGACGCGATGCTTCTCTATGAACACTTATGGATTTTACCCAACAGAACTAAGTTTTTAAATATCAAATGCAATGTAGTGTATTTGCGTTCTGATTCAAATTTCGTCGATATAATACTGTTATTTTTATTTATTTATTTTGTTGTAATACACTCTCAAAAGGGTAAAATGAGTAGACAACGAGAGAAAAAAAAAATAATAAGCTTTACAGCAAATTAAATTTACATGTTAAATTACATGAGAAACGTTAGTAAGACTAATTTGGTAATTAGAAAGCACTTTATAAATGTACATTTCGACTCGTTTAAATTAAGACCATTAGTTTGACACCAAAGTCATATTGAAGATGCTTAGAACTTCTCATCAGAACTTCTAATAGGCAAATAAACTTTAAATGGTCATCAAAAAGCAAAAATGTAGAGAAAACAAAAAATGGAACCTACATCATTCGTAAAAATTAAATGGCTGAGAATAAGTTTTAGCTGAGTTATTTTTGACTTAAGTTATATTTTAGTCAACTATAATTTAGTTAACTTTAAGAATCATTAGTACGGCCAACTAAAAAGTGTTTGGTTGTCTCTGGTATAATAAAAATGTTTATGGACAGACATCTATAATTTAAGTCTTTAAATGGTTTGGAATTATCTATATAAATTATTTTTCAATATTTCAAATGTGTTTATGTTAAGATGTGAGTGTAAGGGCATGCGAGGGGTCCCTGTCAAAAACTGACAGCAGAAATGCACCAGAAGTTTTTCTCTCTTCCCTGTTTATCATTTGAAGTAGGTTTTATTTATATATTATTTAAACATATTTTGTTGAGCCTAAAATACTTGTAAATATATATATATATGTATACAAATATGAGTGATCCTCTGAGTGGTTATTACTTTAACCAATACCTAAAGGGTTTAACGTTCATAGTTGTAACTTTTCTCTCATTGCTAATATCGATTTCCACATTTCCTATAGTTTCACAAACTCAGTCGCCTACTTCATCGTTCGTTTCTCTCCATTAACTATGAACCGAATAAACTCTTACTGTTTTATAGTCATCTTTCATTGTAACTGAAAGAGATAAAATCACATTGAAGTAAACGTTTCTACGTGAATATAGAAATGGTAGAAACATTAAAATCGACCGAAGGCTATAAAATGTGCTAGAAATTATATTTTGAGTACTACAGATGATACGTCTATCTCTTTACTTGTGAACAAATTAAAGTATATCTAGTTAAATAAATGTACATATTTAATTATTTGTACTTAAATTTAATATAATATTTGTGAATATCGACATCTTAAAAACGATCTTACGTTTTCGACGTAGCATATCAAGCTTATTGAACTTCCTTCGCCGATATGATATTCTTCACTGCCCATTATTACAGCAGTTGGAACGCTAACAAATAAATTGAAGTAATGCGTCATGATGCCGGTGCCGGTGCCCACCTGCAATAAATTCAAAGGGAAAATACTTCAATTAATTGAAACAATTGCAATGTACGTATGATAGCAATAGTCTAACAAGTCGACTTTTGAAGTATAACAGTTTAAATAATACTGGTGGGATTCACTGAGAGAATTCTTGTGTGCACCCATGAATTAGGGATGTTTAATATTTTATTTTATTCATACTACTTAATAATACATTTACACGACAGTATAATATATATATTATTACAATTGGCACTGAGAAATTTTCAATGGAAAATAATGTAAAGATAAAATACTTATAATGGAGATGAAAAGTTAATACTTGATAATTGTATTTAAAACTGCGGCCAAGATGGCGGTAGTAGATGTATAATTAAATCCGTCAAGGCCCGAGAAAGATCAATATATAAGTTGATACTGAGTTATTTATACCCGGAAACTGTAAGAGTGGTGTATTTAAAAGGAAGGTTTAAAAAAAAAAGGAAATTAAATTGTTATTTAATTTGCTTAAATGGAAGATTATGTAAAATACGAAAATAGCTTATTATCGCATTGAATGTCAACTGCAATACAGAATATCTTTAGATGTATGATATTATGCTAAGCAAAGAGCGCTAAATAGCGCTGATGCTTTTCTTTTGTCTAATACATGTAGACAGTTTGATGTTCACCGCATTCGCCACAGTATGGTGGTTTTTCTTATAAAACTCGTATCATGGTAAATTGCAATAATACTACAAACATGTAAAATATTGAACGACTATTCATGTTAGTGATCTACATAGAAGAGTTCTGAGGAATAAGCATATAAGTGGATACTTGAATGAGTTCTGAATTGTGGTTGTGTTAAAATTAAATAATTTTTCACATAACACTATTGACTAAACATTTTTTTAAAAAAAATTAACAGATTTATTAATAATTCATCAAACGACAAATGCACATAGATAGGTTAATCGATTGAAAGTGTACGATTTATTAGTATTGTATTTATGTATTTTTTTTATCACTTGGGAATTGACAGTGTTCCGGAATTACAACTGTTATCGTGTAACTTTGACTAGAAAAATTTGAGAGTTTGAATAAAAGAAAAGAGGGTTGCTAGCGTCTACCAAGAGGGAAGGAACTGCATGAGTAATCGAGAGTCGAACCATACACATAAAAAAGTTAAAATACATAATATAATATTTCAAACGACAAGCGTATAAATAAAAAGGCGAAACATAAATTTAGGGTCTTTGGGGGTGCATATTTAATTCTCGGTCTGGATTTATGAACACAATAATTTATGACGTGGCTAGAGCTGGTGTAGTTTAAACAAAACACCGATACCAAAATATGTACACCAATAATTTACTCTTTGTAGCTAAATATAAGGAACATCTATCAGCTACATATAAATACATAATATCTGTAGATACACGGTATTTGAATTTACTCAAAGAAATAATAAAACCCATTGTTCATCCGAACATCTGTTTACTTTAGAAATTTGTTCTATTATTTATTTTTATCTTATTTAAATATGTTTTTTTTTTGTTGAAATTTTAGACTTGTTTTTGATATTTTTGATTACCAAACTAATGTTTATGTTTTACTATATATATATGTACAGGGTGTTCCAGCATGAAAAGCAAGTAATAGGTGATTAAATATCTGGGGGACCCCCAAATAAGCCCCTCGTTTTAATTTTTTCAATAAGTCAAAAATTGAAGGTTTCGATAGTTAGGAAAAAAAATGACTTAAAAATAAAAAAAATGATTCCCTGTTTATCAGTGCAAAAAGCTCACCTTAAAGGAGGGGTCACATCATTTTCAGTCCTTTTCGGCCCCTAACTTGAAAAATGATAAGAGAAAAATGGTTAGAGACCAAAAATAAATGATAAGTTATAAAAGATAAATGTCAAGAGATAATTGCTAAAAAAAAATTATGAGAGATTAGAGATAAATGATAAGAGATAGGTGCTAAATGATAAGAGATTAGAATTAAATGATTAGAAAGAAGAGATAAGATATTAGTGATAAGAGATAAATGACTAGCGACTAGAGGTAAGAAATAAACGATGAGATAAGAATTAGGGGGTGAAAAAGACTGAAAATGATGTGACCGCTCTTTTAAGGTGAGCTTTTTGCACTGAATAACATGGAATATTTTTTCGTTTTTTTAGGTCATTATTTTTTGACAAACTGTCGAAACCTTCAATTTTTGACATATCGAAAAAAATAAAACGGGGGGCTCATTTGGGGGTCCCCCAGATGTCCAATAACCTATTACTTACCTTTCATGTTGGAACACCATGTATATATATATATATATATATATATATATATATATATATATATACATATATATTATAACCATAAGTGGCGAAAGTTTTTTTCTAAATGAATAAACAAAGTGATCAAAAGTAGTAATTTCACTAGACCATCTCACTCCAAGTCTGCTCTTAAAGTGGCCGGTCGCGTTATTTTTATGAACAAAGTTTTTGATAAAATCTTTTGGAACAATTTAATATTGACCTATGCGCGCGATTGGCTTGGAAACGTAGAACTTTCCAACAGAAACCGTCGCCAGCAATTTCTAGTTTTGCTCCTGTCTAATATATACCTATAAGGGCTGCCGTGATAATTAACGTCGCCAATGGCGATGGCTTTATTGTCGTTATAACGAGACTGGACAGTGTCGGCAACAATTAGCGAAACCGAATTAAACCGGGCTAGATTTTGATAATGAGTGCGGTAGGCGGAATGGGATTTTACAAGACTGAACTTTTGTCGTTACCGCACTTATGTTGTACTACTACAACAATAGCGCGCAACTTCGGGTCTTGGAGGGACGGCTTTAAATATTATTCTTAAGTAAAATTTAGAAAATTACTTATCCTTACACGACTTATACTTTGTTATGTATAACTCACGACAAGCTTAAGCGAATACAATTACTGATTAAAACCTAGCGTGGGATCCACTAATTGAACATTATCACAATGATGTGTTGGTCTTATATGGTCATTTACCAAAGGTAAAACACCTGGTGAACTACCAAGGTTTTTTTAACCTGCGGTTTGGTGTTTTTGAAAATAAGTATAACCCCCAGTTGAATGATTTCGTTGTAAATTCCAAAGGCTTGTACACGGTGTGCATACTTGGAGATTCGTTTGGCATATCCGAGAGCAGCGAAGAGATATCGTAGGTCTTGTAAACCAAGCACTGAGCGGGCATATTAATATTCAGCAACCGCTGAGCCGGAAATGTCGTTGAAATCAAAATCATACCTATAGGTAAGCACGATAGCTGCTAACTGTGAAACTTGTAGATATGAAAATGACATTGTTCGCTATCTGTGTACACTATGCTATTTTATTTAAGTCAACAAACTCCATGCGTCATATGGAAATGTGCTCGAATTTTTGTGTATCGCTAAGTCACTTTTTGTCTTGTAAGCAATTTTCTGGAAAATCTTTATTTTTCATCGTCTCCCAGTTCCACCTTTATTTATACATTGCTGCATACTTAAGCAACCAGCTTGCCAGACACGTTAATTAATTTCCGTCACGTATGAAAGGAATTAGTTTACAAACGCGTCGTCTCCATACGTAGAGGTATGCGGATCGTTAAAATGGCTGCCAAAGGCCAAGTAAGAAATTCGAGTTCCCGAAAAACGGCATTAACCGTTAAATAGTTTTTCTACTACTCAAAATATGTTATCATACGAAACGTCATAGTTGAAATATTTCATTTAAAGAGCAGAAAAATCCGGAAATTATAGGTTTATCCAGGAAAAGCAGCATTATTTGTTGTTTTATTATTAGTAATTATATATTTTTGTTTGGTGTTAATTTTTAATAAAAAAAAAAATGATAAAATAGAATTTAAAATCATACCTACGTTCATCCTATCATAAAATAAATCATACCTAGTGTAAAAAAAAATTCCATTACACATGACATCAGAATTCATGAAAATAACGATTATTATGTTTTAAACATCTGTCGCAGAAACAAGCCACATGTTTAGGATTAAATTTTGTGAACAGAAATTAATTTAGTAATGGAAACTGCCAAGAATAATAACTTAGTTATACTTATGTGAACGCACTGTTATGACATTGGTTCCATTTAAACATATTACTCATATTTACTTTATCGACTTAATTGGAGGTTTTCGGTAAGTGTCCGATTATCTAATGGATTTCAATTTTCAAATACTTTTAATTGAAAATAAAATAAGGGTAATGTCTAACTCGAGTGAACGTGTAACTTTGTACACACCGTTCACCGGAAACATACCTAATGAATTATGGCACGTGATACTTGTACTTAAACGAGGATAAAATGTTCATAATAATGTTTTTTTATTTATTAAACTTACAAGTTTAATTATTACTAACTTGGAAATTTTTTTTTCACTTGAAACCAGGATGAAAATAAAAAATAAAAATATGATGGAAAATTTCAGTTATTTTGTATGTTGTGTTGGTTCAGTATAATCAATATGTATTGAATTTGAAACAAGTTAAGAGATAGGTCAAAGTTTATTTAGTGCTACTAATGTATTGCATGTCTTCCATGTAATAATTATTGTGTTCATGGTTAAAACTTAACGATTATGTTATTTAATCAATCAAAAGAACTAATTGATTTATTAAAAAAATTTGCAATTGTTAAATGTGTTACATCTAAGTGCAAAACTTGCTTATATAATATTAGACTTTGTTGGTTTAATGAGAAAAACATTCGCTTGCGTTATGTATATATATATTTGTTGTAAGTTTCAACAGACGACTCGCAGTTCATTTATTTTTGGTGAAAATCAAGTTTATATTATAAAAAACCCGAAATGAAAAGAAATTATATATTTTTTAGTGTCCAATAACAGTTTTTAATGGCATTACAAATCATTTTCTGTAATGTTGTTTTTTCTGGTGTTTGAAAACGCAGTTTTATGTAATATAAATTTATCTTGTTCAAATTTCCAATCACTGGAAAATATATAAAGACTTCAATGGTTTTAAGA